AAAAAAAAAAAAAAAAGGCCCAAATCCTTCAAGACTTTCATGTGTGGGAAAGGTGGCATCCGGAGACAGTGGGGAAACGGTTCTGGGAAGAACAGGAGCCGTCAAGGAAAAACAACATAGGATCCTTATCTCATAGTCACTGCAGGAAGAATTCCAAATGGAGAAAAGATTTAAATGCACGGCACAACCCATCCAAGTACTAGAAGGAACCAGCAGAGTTTTCTTTCTTAATCTCAGAGGGTGAGCACAGACCAGCTGTGACATTTATCTCTCTGTGCCTGTCTCACAGGGTGCTGTGAGCACTGGAGGAATTAATACCGTACATGCAAACGCTTAGAACAATGCCTGGAACACAAGGGACAATGGTCACTCACTAATCCTTTGTGGTGCCACACGAAGACTATTGCCGTCATCATCATCATCATCATGAAAAAGAATGAGGACTTAAAAAAAATGGTTTTCTAGTTTTCAGGAGCAGGGAGTTTAATACGCAAAAAAGAAAGGTGAAGAAAGAAAGAAGCAGCTCCCTGTTCAGAGACAAAGGGGGGTGGGCTCCAAAGCTGAGAGAGGGAATCCCCAAAATGAGGACATTTTATAAACTGGTATCAAATGAGTATGAAAATATATTACTAGGTGAAAAAACATCAGATGCAGAGCATGGTATATACTGTGCTAATTTTGGTTGAGAAAAAGGGGGCGGTAGAAAAAAATGTACATATATATCTCTACATATATTTATAAGTGTATAGACTCACTCACACACACACACACAATCTTTGGTGAGACTGCTGCATTACACAACTCCAGGGGGCGCAATTCCATTGTATTCTATATCAATGGCATCCCAGGAGCTCGATATAAATGACGTCCCTTGGAGTTGTGCAACGCAGTGGTGGCCCTGCTAACGTGGCTGCAGGTGGGTAACATATCTCTGGAAGAATACAGAAGTGGAATGACATGGGTTGCCTGTAGGGAAGGGACAGAGGTGGCTTGGTACATAGGTGGGAAGGAGACTTTTCACCATTCAGCCTTTGTGTTCTTTCAATTTGGAACGATGTGAATGTGTTATAGAAAATTCCTCTTCCCAGAAAATAAATCAAAGAAGTTGTAAAAATAAATACATGTACGTAAGAGTAATACATACAAGTAACAGAACATGTTAGAAAATTTGGGAAATCCCGAAAAGTATAATGGAAAAAGAATTACGATTAAGCATGATTTTTTTTCCTGGTCTCTGGTTGTGTCTGCATGTATGTGCGTGTTGAATGCTTTGAAAGGCAGCATCATGCTCATAGGGCAGGAGTGGGCAAACTATAGCCCCAGACTAAATCTGGCCCATTGCCTGTTTTTGTAAATAAAGTTTTATTGGAACACAGCCACACACATTCACTTATGCATTATCTATGGCTGTTCTGCTACAATAGGATCATTAAGTAATTGTAAAAGACACCATATGGTCTTCAAGCCAAAAATATTTACTATCTGGCCCCTTACCGAGATAGCCTGCCAATTCCTGGTGTAGGGGAGAAGCATGGGTTTTGAAATGGGCTGAATCTGGGTTCAAGCCTCAGCTCCATTGTTGACCAGCTGATGTGGTCAGGGAAATTATTAACAATGTATATTAAACATTGATCTGGTTTGGCTCTGTGTCCCTACCCAAACTTCATGTTGAATTGTAATCCCTGATGTTGGAGGAAGGACCTAGTGGGAGGTGATCATGGATCATGGATCATGGTGGCGGATTTCTTCCTTGCCGTTCTTGTTACAGTGAGTGAGGTCTCACAAAATCTGATTGAAAGTGTGTAGAATGTCCCCCTTTGGTCTCTCTTCCTTCTGCTCTGGCCATGTAAGATGTACCTCCTTCCTCTTCACCTTCCACCGTGATTGTACATTTCCTGAGGCCTCCCCAGCCATGCTTCCCGTACAGCCTGCGGAACCGTAAGCCAATTAAACCTCTTGTCTTTATAAGTTA